TCTCTACAGAAAAATAGAAAAACTAGCCAGGTGTGGTGGCGCGCACCTGTAGTTCCAGCTACTTGGGAAGCTGAGGCAGGAGGATTGCTTGAGCACAGGAGTTTGGGGTTGCAGTGAGCTATGATGAGGCCACTGCACTGTAGCCCTGGCAACAGAGCCAGACCCTGCCTTCTTTTTAAAAACAAAACAAACACTTCTCCCTTTGTTCTGTCAATGGGAATGTCACCAGAACAGGTACTCCCTGATTTCTATGGTTGTGTTGGCAGCATAGATACCTTTTAGAGAATTTATCTTAGGTCTCAGCGCTAAAACAGAAATCTCTGAAATATGAATCCTTGAAGGAGAGAAATGGAGCTGAAACTTGTAGCTGACAGAGTAAACCCTGCATTCCCATCTTTACTACTTGTCATATTGCCACAGGATGCAGTAGGAAAGAACACTAAAGTGGAATTGGATTTGGGCTTAATAGCTTAATGACCTTAGAGAAAAACTTCCTGTCCCTGTGTCTGATATGAAGAGATTAGACTAGACATTATATTTAAGTCCTCTCTGGCTTAAAAGATGGCATACAGAGGATTCTGGTATCAGAAGACTTGTACCACATGTGATTGTTCTTAAATCGGGAACTTTCTAGTTTCTGAAAAATTTTTGCTTAGAAAAAGTAGACATGGTAAGTAATTGTTACATGTGTTTATTTTTTAGGGGCTAAGATGGATCTTGTACTCAATGTTGCAGATTATTATTTTTTTACACCGTACATATATCCAGCCACGTGGCCAGAGGATGATATCTTCCGACAAACTATTAGTCTCCTGATTGTAACAAATATTGGTGCTTATATCCTTTATTTCTTCTGTGCGACACTGAGCTATTATTTTGTCTATGATCATGCATTAATGAAACATCCACAATTTTTAAACGTAAGAGATTTTCTTACCTATTTTCTAACTACTGTTACAGTAAAAATAATATGATGAATTTGTGAGATTTTCAGATTAAACTGATTATGTATAATTTTAGCAATTAAACTTTTGAGACCAGCCACAAACAAGTTAGATATTTTTGTGAGAGCTAATCTCTTCTCTCCTTTCCTTAATTTAAACAAATCTAGCTTTTTTTTAAAAAGCTATAAGTCTGATATCTTATCTCGCTAGATACATAGAGGAGAACTTCTATGCTGATATTGAAGAATAAATAAATGCACACGTTTATGTAATTCTTCTAATATATGACTTTCACAAATTGAATTTTTTTTTTTTTTTTTTTTTGGGTCTAGATAGGGGATTCAATCTCACTAGTTTTGGAGTTGTTTAGAAATCGTTTTTCCATTTCAGTTATTTGTATTTGTTGCTCCAAGGACTGACC